CGGGGACGGGGACGGGGACGGGGACGGGGACGGGGACGGGGACGGGGGTTCTATTTTATTTCATTTTTAAAAATAAATTTTAACCCATTTATTGCTGCGTTTGTTGTCACGTATTTTTAATAGAATATACATATATTAAATATCGGTTCTGTTTCATTTTTTTATTTACTGTATGTATTTATTGTATCATCAATCATTCCATAATTACATAGGTCTTAAAATCTCGTACCTATTCCTTAGGCCATTCTTTATAAGAGCACACATTACAAGAACACAACGTATTGCATATTGTAGAGTTAGGTTTTGAAGGATTTCTAGTGCTGTTAAAAACAGGTTATCAAAAAAAGGAAACATAATATTATGGGTGATGCCTCATTTCATCTTGAATAAATTTGTCTCTCGTGTCACAAAACCAGGGAGGAAACCGACGAGAGCCTTTGTATGGAACGCACAACCCTCGCGTTCCTCCTAAAGTATGTTCATAACTTTATCTCACCATGTCAACACATATGAACTGTTGTTCACATTGCTCTTTCTGAACTTAGCACATGATTGTTGAACTTTCCAGTGTTATCTTAACCCGAAGATTAGTTTAAACCATGTTTAAACATATTATCATGTTACTACTAAAGTTTCAAAACTATTGATCTCCAACATTTTGTTAATATAAAGATCTTTTATTTACTATATTTCAAAGGGTAGAGTTGGATGAAAATTGTAAAGTAGTGGGAGATTCGTAGTCTCATTGTGATTTAATGGTGCAATTAATGTTAATAATGGAAATCAATGTGTGATAAAATTTTGTATTTTCTAAATATGTTTATTATTATTTTTTAAATAACCTCACCGTTTATCTGGTTTCAAACTAAGAAAATTTCCTGTACGGTGAGCACCAGAATAACTTGAACCATTTAAGAGAAGTTAATTCTCTTAACGGGAATAGAACCTAGCTACAGTAGTGTTAATCACTAGCAGAGAATAAAAAAGTAACCAGAAAGGTCACTCTACGCCCCCTCTCTAGCTTTAGAGACTACACCGTGACCTGCATATTGTTACTATATTGACGGAACGACAACAAGGCTGACAGAGAGCCGTTCGCTAAAGACGACTTTGAAACACTTTGATGTTTAGACACTTTAAATGTATTGATTACGAACGTACGTTCCGATATGATGGTCGTGAATTTTGCCATGTATGGCTGTTTATCTCAATGGAGCAAGGAGAGAAGTTTCTTTCGTTGTCCAAAAGATGAAACGAAATACTTATTAGTTACTCATGTCTGAGACTCATTCAGAATGATTATTTTCTTCATTTATTTAATGTAAATTCATTTTGCTTATAATATACAGGGTTATTTGTAAAATTTTAACAACGTCGCATGACTGTATTATTACTAAAATTGTAAACAACAACTTTTGTTCCAAGACTTTTAAGATTTTACTTTCATACAAAAAGAAATATATTTAAATAGATAACTCTAAACGGTAATAGCTCTGTGCAGGGCGGGTACCTTACTACCAAATACAGTGTCTCTACCATGAGTTTACTATTACAGTTGTCGCTAGCGACAGCGTAAAGTATTTGTATACAAAATGTTACGTCTTCTCGTGACCGCTATGAGCGTTGTATAATTTTTGATACTAAAGTGTGAAGTAAAAAACGTGATCTCTAGCGACAACTGTCAGTGTAAATTTATGGTAGATGTATCGTATTCTTCTATGTACTTGTTGTCGGATCTTTGTATTTGGTTTTTAACGACTTTTAAGCCTTAGTTGGTGACATCTATGAGATCTGTGAAAGTATTTCGTCACCTAGTTAGGTACCTTCCCAGCAACCAGCCTTGGCTAGAGATGTCTTTATTAACTGTAACTTTTTTTGATGAAACGTTCTGACATTGAATAAAAAAAATTACAACTTGAAAGTTTATTTTTGCTAAATTTATTGCGTCTTTTAAAAAGGCATGAAACAAAAGTTGTTCATGATGTTAGTAAGAATAGTATCTTGCGAGATTCTTAGTATTTTAAAAATAATCCTGTATAATGTATCACTAGGCCACAGATCTTGTCGTATTTGTAGAAGTAATGGTGATTTATCTGTGAATTTATATTATAAAATTGTAAAATGATGCCACATTACGTATGATTTTCTTTTATCTTTATATTGTGATAGTTAGCATATCAAATTTAATCGGATAATCAAACTGAAGTAATTATAATTGAAGCATAAAATTAAACAATGATGGATAATGATTGGAAACGTCTTATTAAGGCGAAGTAAGACCCAATATAGACGATTTGACGTATTCCACGAAACGTCTTATTAAGGCGAAGTAAGACCCAATATAGACGATTTGACGTATTCCACCATACGATAAACCGGATTTTCAACAGGAAAAAATATAAATATAACTTGTTTTTTCAATTGATAATGAAAACAAAAGATGCTGGTAGTGAACTACAGGGCCTCAAAAACGATTAACTGAAATTCGGCTGGTAAAAAAAATGACAAAATTGCAGTAACGGTCATGGTAATTCCGTAAGTTAAAGTTTCCAAACTCCCGATACAAAACAGCGTACCTCTGAGTCCCTTTAGGACTGTTGGACCAACCAATACTGCCACCATTTGTTAAGCCTTTCGTAAGCCTGTTAGGCTGCGGTTGCAAACGGTGGGTAGTTGAGTGCTGCGACGATGAGTAGCGGACTCTTCAGCTCTGCGGCGAGCTCGCTCGCCTCGCATACATTCTTCGCTCGCATCTGTCGTACACATATCTTGCTTTTTTTGTAATACGTAATTCCGCTAGCCCTCTTCCACCAGAGCCGCGTTAAGCGAGGCTAGGTAAATGAAGTAATCGTGTTGGTGTGTTTTTTCCTCGCACACCGCCTAGCTACCTCGCACAAATCTGGTGGAAATGCAGCCTAAGCTGTGAGTAGTTGACGGGTTGGGTACTTTACAGACTGTCTTAGTTAAAATTTATCATATTATTGTAATGTCATCAGATTTCCATATGAATTAAACATATACACAAGTGCGGGGCTCTTTCTGCGAATTCACCACGCGTCATTGAAAATCAGTTTTAGTGTAATTTCAAGTAATTTGTTTTTTGTACTTTCGAATTATTCACGTGAAAACTGAATTAACAAGTTAATTGCATGCCATTGTTAGCCTGAATTTTCACTCAAAAGTAAGTTTTTTATTATAGCTTTGTAAATAAAAACAGCATTTTAAAACGTACGAAACGTAAAGTTAGCTATATTTAAAACTGTCCGGAAATATATAGATTATTAGTACAACAATCTTTAAAATTAGACAAGTAGTTTAAGAGTACATGAGGGAAATAGAATAATACCACTGCATATAAAGCAATCAATAAATGTATTTCGTAATTTAAAGCAAGATTAATTAACACTATGGCACTGACATTTGTAATTTGACATATTTTACACAGCAATAATTTATTACATAGCCATCACTATACAGAGAAATATATCTATAAACATTATACCTGAGTGGAGCTCTGAATAGGTGTTGCCTCGATCGGAGTCTATTAAGGAATGCCTGCCGTCTGGCCACACAAGGGTATTTATAGTCGTGAACAAACGTGGCGTAGTGGTCGAACGAATGTCGGACAAACAATTTTGTTTTTTTGTAAAATTATGAATTAATAGTTGATCTCTCACATACATATAAGACAAGGTAAATAGTAATATAGTAACTCCAGAATCACCGAAAGCGGTGCCACAACTTGACAAACACTGTTATGTTCATTACACAGGTTTTACCTTCTCTTTTTTCGTAAACTTTAGAACTTATCGTTAAAATCATTTTACGTTAAAACCATATCGAACTCAAACAGCGAATAATAAAAGTAATTTAATAATCTTTGTCATACAAAGTTGCTTTAACACATACATACATATACTTCACGCCTTTTTCCCATCGGGGTAGATAGAGATAACGGTCCTGACACATCTTTCGCCTCATCAACACGCATCAGTGCGTTCATACATGCTTGGTTAAGGGTAATCTTGGCCTGGCCCTTCTTGGTAAGTTCGTCTTGCTCGGCCCAACTTGCCCGGGCGCACTCGCCCCTCTCTCTCTACATGTCCGAACCATCTAAGCATCTCTTTCTAAATTTGTCACTACATCTTCTTCCACGCCGCAACTTAATACAGACAAGGTTTAATGTTCAATGTCATGGTCTAAAATATCTTTTAGAATCTCTTTCCTAACATTATGTTCCCCTTAATTTTTTGGACTTCAACCAAAAGACTTTCTTCTTCAAACTCACGCCTAAACAACATTCTTTGAGTATTAAAATAAAACATACCTTTTTATAAGAACAGTTAACATTTTTATTTAACAACGCCATAAGAAAATATCACAGAACGTCATCAACAACATCATCTTTTTCCAATAGAAAATATTTTATTTTGTTATCTACATTACATTTGTTAACTTGTTTAACATCACCAAGTGTATCTTTACAAATGTTATTTATACGGAATCTTAGCACGCACTGTTGCTGACTACATCTTTTGTCATGACGTTAATATCTTGAAGGCATTGATTTTCGTTATTGTCAAAGACTTCTTTTTGTGGCATTGATGATAATTTGTTGCTTACCATAACGCAGACGTATATCTGACAAGCTAAAAAAAGAATATTAATAGGATCGTTTTATATAATACCAAGTGAGGGGACGAACAAGTCGTACGCATGGTGGTAAAGATCCGCCTACTCATAACATTTGCAGTGGCACTTACGAGCTTACAAGAATGGAGGACAAAAGCCGAAAAAAACCCAGTACAAAAAATCTGTAACAAACAATGTAAGTCTGGTGACTCGATCACAGTTGATAGAGCGGTTGACTTGGTTTGACACAGAGGCTGGTTCGTGTCCTGTCAGGTCGATGGAATTTTCTTTGTGTTCGATCTTTGCATTAATAATTAATTATATATAATAAAGAATATTTCCTTCCTTCATCATCAACTAGTAGTAATAGCAGTAGAACTCCATGTGAACTGCACCTTACCTATTTCTGCCGCCAAGCAGTAGTGTGAGCATTACTGCGTTCCGAGCTAAGGGTGCTGGAGAAATTACAGGCCCATGGGACTTATCAACTTATGCCTCAGGGTGACGGGCGCAGTGGCAGTACCCCTCAGATCTTTGAGTTTTTAAACTCTGAGTGGCACTGCAACTGTTATGGACAGGCGTGTCGCTTACCACCAGGCCCATGACTTGTTCGTCACGTCACTTAGTATCATAAAAGAGAGCATTTAGGCGTCCCGCTGCTGGGCATGGGTCTCCTCACAGGCGAGGGTTAAGGCTATAGTCCACCACGCTGGTCCAATGCGGGTTGAAGACTTCACAGTTTATATGTTTTCCGAGGATTGTGAACCTTTTTCGACGTGAAGGTTCCTTCACCGATTAGTTTAGAGGTGCGAACCGGGATTCGAACCCACGGCCTCTGCTTGAGAGGCGGAGGTCAAACCAGTAGGGCGCGCAAGAATTCGTGTCGTTTCTACACACGAACTGTGTACACTGCCTCGGTGCCAGACAAGAAAAAATCTTGTCTACCCCCGACACGAAGCGCTCTGTCGCTATTGTATGTACGTGTACACAACGCACCCTTCGGTTACCACACCGCTTATAATAATAATTCTTGTCATTATTTGTTATTTCATTGATTATTCCATTTAAAGTACGTCAGTTGTTATATATATTCGGTTAATTGCAAAAAATACTTAACTATATAAGTTGAATTTCTAATAAAAGACAAAACAAAAAAAATTAAGATCATGTTAGTTTTGAAGCGCATAGTGTGAATAGACCGTGATTTGTGTTCTTAGATGTTACTTACCAATGAAAATAGTAAAGAATGATGCCAGGAGGCTGATATTAAGCCAAAAATCATAGAAAATATTATTATAATCTAGAGAATAAATTCCATCGGATATTTTAGCGCCTACAATTGCTAAGGCCAAAGTTGTATTTGCAAAAACGCAAAATATTTCACATGTCAAATACACTATTAACAATTTGCGCAAGTTCTGAAAGAACATTAAATAATGTATTAATTATATACATTGACTTACAATTATATGGACGTCGGGTCCGCGCTAAAAAATGTCCGAACTTATAGGGCGTTAAAATCGTATACAGAGCGTCATTCACGCTGTAGTCTTCGTTTGTTCGACTAACAGCGAAGCAAGCAAAATTAGACAGTACTGCGATGACATTACAATATAAATTCAACGTTTTAGCTTTTTCATATTCCTTTACATGTTACTACGTTTAAATAGGTTGACTTGGGACATTTTTTTTGTGGTTTGTGATTAGACCCGTCGTCCATTTATTTGTAAGTCAATGATTAAATAACAAAAAGGTAACCCACGGAAAAATGTCAAAAAACTAGCTCTAAAACACGAAGACCTTACTCAAACTTTGCTGGAATGAGGATCTAAATTCTTTAGATATTCTGTGTTAATAAATCACAGTGCGAGGAAAGACAGAAACAAATAATCATGTTTACTTGTTTTTTCAAACAAACCAACGTTTTGGTTTTTTTTTACGCACACACTCATAGCCGCGCACTAGGGAAACTCTATATTGCCAGTGCCAGTGCCATGACACACAAATATACAACCACTAATTAAATCCAAACTCACGACAGAAATAAATGTAGGCCAGACAAATATTTCTCCCGGCCTGGGAATCGAACCCGTGGCAGATCACCATGATAACCGTTTGGTAGGCAGTTAATAATATAAATAAAAAATAAAAGGCTTTACAGGTTGAATGGATATGGTACCTCTTATAAGTGCGGCGCCACCTGTGTGCATTGTTGACATCGCCAGTGTTTATATTGAGATTGAAATTATAAAAACTTATTAAATCATCGAAATTCGGAGATGAAGAACAGTGATAAATCCTATCCGACACTGTAAAAATTGTGATAAAAAATAGACAGCTTATAAAGTGAATTTATGAAGAAATCATCCCGTATCATAGAATCTGAACCGAAACCACTTTGTGAAGGTCATGATCTGTGTGTACAAGTGAATATTTTTAAAATTCGAACATTATAACCTAAAAATTCATAACTGCTAATCATCAAATTTTAACGATCTTTGTTGAATTTAGTTCCGCTACTCCATAACAGATGGCGCCACTATAACAATCTTTACTTCTGAAATTAATATTGGTTATTACTCAGCATTATATCAACAATAAATATAAAATAAATGCGCAGGCAGATAATAAAAGACAAGGAATATTTAGTGTGTTCAAAATGCAAAGATAAATATGACCTGGATTGTGCCAATGTCTCAACTCAAAGATTTTACAACACTATGACCTCTGAACACAAAAAAGTGGGACTGTCCGTCATGCCACTGTAAAACTCCAAAAACAGGCAATACTAATTTTGCTTTGGACAACAGACTCCTGAACGATCACCAAGAAATCTCACCAACAGAATCTTAAGTGACACAACGTAACAACGTAAATTCAACACAAACATGGAAAATTACTCTATGAGCTTGGATGATATCAGCAACTCACCGAATCCTAAAGGTCACTCTTATTGGATCATCCCCTAACACTAAGAAAAATAAATGACTTATTGGAAACAACTTTAAAACAAAATAATAAAACAATCATAACAGAATTGAGAAAAATAATAGCAAACGATGTACAAGTAGCGATTACAGCCTTGAGAAATGAAATTAAACAACAGGCAGAAAGTTCTAAAAGTAAACAAGCAGAAGTTGATAAAGAAATTAAATATCTAGATTCAAAAATACAGTTACTAAACCTGGAATACAAAAAACTGCAATCTGAAACACAAAAACTTGAAACTGAAATTCAAAACCGTAAGACAGATTCACCTCCAATATACGCTGATTTATCCAAGACTTTTGTGTTACATGGTCTTCCGGAAAATTATTAGGAAATAGAGGAAGAAACATGTGAAAGAGTGATACGCTCTGTATACGATATGCGTCGAAACTTGGCTACTTATGAGCGACGTACGGGCGGAGGCCGAGCGTTACGAAACGCGGGAACACTAAAATCCGTTGCCCACCGTACCGAACTTGCAACTAGAAATCCGCGGGTAATAGGTCCCCGATTCTACGAACAACTACCCACAGACCTGAAGTGTTAGAAACGATGAAACGTTTTGTACCCGACTAAAAAACCTTTTATTGGATATTGAATTGTACAGTGTCGATGAGTTTCTTTTGAAACAATTTTAATTTTATTTTATTCGACAAGCAGTAGTTATACTACTTTATTTTATATTCATTATTATTATTATAATTTTATTACTGACGATCATAGTTATCCCTTGACATTGTATTTCCAATTGTAATATTGTGACATTGATAACATGAAATAAATGATTCTATCCTATTCTATTCTATTCTATTGAATATTGATCTTACGGATTATGTGGAAGAAATATCACGAATAAGAAAAAAAGGAGAGACCATTACATATGATAGAGTCAAATACGAAATACTCTTGCAAAAATTGTATGATGCAGGGATAAGAGGCTTAGCCCATAAATGGCTCACTAGTTACTTGACAAAACGAGAACAACTTATTGAAATTGAACACTTAAATTATAAAACAGGTACCTACTATTACAAATATAAAATCTGATAAAATAAACATCATTAACTCTATCCCGCAAGGTAGCGTTTGGCGTCGTATTTTGTTCTTGATATATGTAAATGACCTGCCCAAAATGTGTGAACAACATTGCACTTTATTTGCAGATGATATTACAATCATATTATCGTGTGAAAATTAGGAAGAATTACAGGACAAATTAGATAAGATACTAGAAAACCTTATATAATGGCTAAACTCTCACAATTTGGAATTGAATATAAAAAATCCGTACCAAAAATCACCTTCAAATATAAATATAAAAATACGGAACTGAAAACAGAAACTACAGCGACCCTACTCGGTATTGAATTAGACTCAACTATGAATTGGAAATCTCATGTACAAAACTTAACTGGTAAATTGTCTTCATTTATTTACGCGTTGTACAACCTCAAAAAGGTTACAGATTTTAAAACAGCTAGCTCCATCTGCGTACTATGCCTTTATTCACGCTCTCAAGGCAAGGAAATTGCGTTGAGATTGACAATTCATTCTTACTTCAAAAGAAATGTATAAGAATACTTGCTAATATAGACTCACAAACCTCTTGTAAGTCGTTCTTTATTAAACACAAGACTTTGACACAAACCTCAGTTTATATTCTTGAGTGTAGTAAATTTATAAAAAAATACAATCATCTTTTCTCACCAGTAAAGACTCTGAAGCATAACAATAGAGGTTTACACATGTTGAAGCGTCATTTCAGTACTCTAGGTATATACCATGCAGGGTCCCACTGTATGGTAATTAAAATATATAATGCAATCCCAATAAATATAAAAACACAAGATACACATAAGGCCTTTGTAACTCATCTAAAGTGCTATCTAATACATAGCAAAGCTTTTTATTCCCTAAAATAATACTTTTTAGAAAATAGTGCTTAAAAACGAATTACCAAGTTTATAACTTGTAAAGTATGTCAAATAGACAGACGTAAGTGTATCAGGAATGAGACCTAAATGTAAAAGGAATTAATAATATTAATTTTTTATTAATAATATAATAATATAATTTTAATTTTTTAATATTAACTTTTATTTTCACTTTTTATTAATTTTCTTTCTTTCTCACTTAGCTGCTCTTACCACTTTTATGCTGATGACTTGCAGATTTACGCGCAGGCATCTGCCGAGGACATTAATTCAGCGATTTCTGACATTAACAGCGATTTACAATGTGTTAGTGCGTGGTCAACTAATTTTGGGATATCTGTTAATCCTTTCAAGTGTCAAGCAATTATTTTAGGTGGATCTAAACAGATATCCAAGATTGACCATACTTCGCTCATTCAAGTAGTTTATGAGAACTCGTCTGTTCCATTCAGTTGTAGTGTAAAAAACCTTGGTCTTTACATTGACTCCTCACTAAGCTGGACCTTACAGGTGTCCGAGGTTAGTCGTAGGGTTATTTCTTCTTTACGTTTTCTAAACCGCTTTCGACATTTTCTTCCCATTAGTACTAAGACCCTGCTCGTCACCTCCCTTATATTCCCACTCATTGATTATGATGATGTCTGTTATCCTGATCTCAACGAAAATCTATTAGACAAGTTGGACCGCCTGCTCAATAATGCTATTCGTTTCATTTTCTGCCTTCGGAAATTTGATCACGTTTCTTCTTTTAGGTCTCAACTTAAATGGCTCCCTATCCGTCAACGCAGACAGAAAAGAATTCTCTGTACGTTGTACTCCGTTCTTTTCAATCCCCACTATCCAGAATACTTGAAATGTAAATTTCAGTATCTCTGTGACTCTCATGACCTCCCACTTCGTTCCATGAATTCACTATCACTCTCTGTACCTCTTTTTCATTCTGGCTTCATGTCAGATTCTTTTACTCTCCACTCGATACGGCTCTGGAACGCTCTACCGGACGCCATCAGATGGTCTCCTAATATATTTTCTTTTAAAAATAATGTTCATGAGCGTCTTCTAAATTGTTTGTCACAGCAATAATCATCATCATATTCTGTTATTGTAAGTATTTTGTATATGTATGGTATATTTGTATGTATGTAAGTGTATGTATTATATTATTAAGTAAGGTATTAGGTTAGTTTGTTATATATATAATTATGAATTTGTTTCATTTATTTTAATATAACCGTAATATTCTGTTTATTTACCGCGTTCGTGAATTTCGTTTTTCTCAGAGGTTGACTGGTAGAGAATGCTTTTAGCATTAAGTCCGCCTTTTGTATCCTTTGTATTGTGGTCAATAAAGTTTAATAAATAAATAAATAAATAATATTTAGTGTTGATATTGCCGAAAATTCTGTTTAGTTTTTTTTGTTATTAATCGTTCTTAATTTTATTTAAATAATGTTGAATTTTCTTATAGACTCGTTTTTAATTTTATTTTAATAATGTATATGTTTTAGTAAAGTAAGGATATAGTGCCCTCAGAATGTTGCAGTGCCCCCACGGGGTGTTGCATGTCAAGTACCATTAGCATAAGAACACTTGTTATATAACCATGTAACTTGCAAATAAAGAATATGAATATGAATGGATGCGTCTGACTGAAAAGCCCGAATGTCTGAAGAAACAGTTTCATTTCAATTTCTCAGTCGTCTCTTTGATAACTGACGAGTTGTCTAAAGAATATCAGAATCATTTAATGAAGAATAAGACAAGAGTTAGAGGGTAGTGGCTACAGGTAATTTTCAGAGTAAAAAGGTAAGTTATATTTATTTATTTATTTAGACATTTATTTCAGGCCACCTGACCCGTAAAATATATACCTTTAGGACTAACATCTAGGACAAACAACTAATCTACACGTATTGCACTTGGCGGCGACGTGTAGCGCAATCTGGTGCCATATTGTGAACTGCTTCCGTAGCCGAACGGTTACCATGCTGGTCTGCCAGAGTCTGGTCTGCAGAGGTCTCGGGTTCATTTCCCGGGCCGGAAGAAATATTTGTATGGCCTACATTTATTTCTCTCGTGATTTTGGGTGTAATTTGTTATTGTCTTTGTGTGTCCTTGGCACCCGCGACTCAGGGTTTCCCTAGTGCAGGGCTATGAGTGTGTGCGTTATAATTTAATGTAAATGGCAGTAAATTAATTTGCTACTCCGCGAAACCAGTGAAGGTTAAATCGTGCAAAATAGATACAGTTAATTATCCCACCCTCCCTCCGCATAAAATTAATAAAGCAAATAACACAAGCGCAACTACAGTCACAAACCGCCACCAAAAATATACCCGACACTTGTTTCGCCTTTCCACGAGGCATTCTCAGAGGCTGTTGTCTTCTCGACCCTCGGCCGAACAATGAGCTCGTTCAGAACGGTAAAATAAAGATGCAAAATTCAATTATTAATTTATTATACAACCCCTGTTGTTGTCCTAATTCATCTGTTCTAAAACACCCAGTGGTAGTCCTTTTTCGCAAAAATGTAAGATTTCATAAGAATGGGAATCTGGTAAAATATGGTTTGTGTCTAATAAATGTTTAGCGAAATTGGACCTGTTTGGGATAAGCACCCAAACGAAGGAACATGCTCTTTATATCTAGTTATAAAGTTACGCTCTGTTTGAATTAATGAATGAATGATGAATTAATGAACGAATGAAATATTCTTTATTGCACCATAAAATTACCGTTAAAATACAATAAAGTAACTTAGGTATAAAGATAGTAAGATAATGTGCAACAGGTGGCCTTATTGATATTTAGCAATTTCTTCCAGGCAACCTTAGGATAGAAATTTGGGATGTGCAAAACGGGTGCAACCAAAGAATATCATTATAAGTACACTACATAATAATTATTAACAAACTCATATACGTACACAGAAATATCCATACAAATATTATTAATACATAAATAATAATTATAATAAATATGTTATACTCTAAAGGAAAAAGAATAAGTATATAAATGAAAGGATAGTGGAGAAAAAGACAAAATTTAGGAGTTGAGGAAGTGATCCTTCTGAAGACACGTTTGAAGGAATCAAGAGAAGGGGAACCTTGAACGATTCAGGGAGATAATTCCACAGTCTGATCGCAGAAACGATAAAAGAGTTGGAATGAAAATTAGAGGTATGGGATATGTTTAGTAAGAGAGTATCAGAGGAGCAAAGGGTACGGCAGAGTGTAGAAGAGTGGAAAGTAAGGCGATCTTTAAGATAAGAAAGCGTAAAGGGACGGAATAGAATTGAGTAAAGAAGGTAAAGAATATGGAGATCTCTATGCTGGTGGATGGGTAGCCATTTAAGTTGTGCACGAAATTGGGAGACATGGTCAAATTTACGAAGTCCGAAGATGAATCTCATATTTTGAGCTGTTCCAGTTTATTGAGCAGGGTGACTGACAAATCCGGGTAGCAAACATCTGCGTAGTCCAGTATCGGATAGAGAATGCTCTGGGCCAAAGTAATTTTAGTTTTAGTGGGCAAAAAGTTTTTAAGCCTTCTCAGGGAAAAATGCGCACCAAACACTCTCCTGCTAACCTCAGCAACGTGCAACTTCCAAGTAAGACATTTATCAAAAATTACCCCCAAGTTCCTGTTTCCAAAAAAGGAATTCGGATACCATCAAAAACCACATGGGGTAAGGAGTCTAGGTCTATACGAGAAGTGAACCAAGTGCTACCTATAATAATGGATTGTGTTTTGGACGGGTTAACTTTTAGGCCAAAGGACTGACTCTATTGACAGATAGACTCAAGGTCCACATTGGCATAAATAGCACTTGGTAAGAAGAAACGACTGGGAGTAAATTTGGAGGTCATCCGCATATAGATGAGAGAGAGAGTGTGTAATAGAATTAATAAACAAAGAAAATAAGAGCGGGGACAGGACGCCACCCTGCGGAACTCCGGCAGAGATATCGCAACACGTAGAGAAAGAATTCTCATTACGTATACACCGCCGTCGCCCACAGAGGTAGCTTCGAAACCAATCAATAACTGCTGGAGATATGTTAAGAGAACGCAATACTTCCAATAATAAGTCAAAGTCAACTCCATTGAAGGCATTACTAAAATTAAGGACCTGTTTGACCTATGTTATACACTGTTACGTGTGTCACATGTGAGCTTATAAACTCCCGACTTCTTTCCACTTTCCACTCTTTCATTGCCATTGCAAAGTGTAGAGAGCAAAGTGTTTTTAAGACAAATACCACTTTGCGCTCTAGACTTTGACATTCTTCGGCCGAGCGTCGAGCAATCAACAGCCTCGTGGAGAGCCGAAACACGTATCGGGTATATTTTTGGTGGCGGTTTGTGACTGTAGTTGCGCTTGTGTTATTTATTTTATTAATTTTGCAGAGAAATGCAGAGGGAGGGTGGGATAATTAACTGCATGAAAAAATATTCAACACAAGAGCAGCTATTTTGCACGATTTAACCTTCACTGGGTTCGCGGAGTAGCAAATTAATTTACTACCATTTTTATTAACATGGACTTCCGCAAAGGAACGCCTGAATCTATTAATTCATTATTACTTACTTTTTATGTGACAAAAATTTACGGATTTAAGGTTAAGGTAGAATCCATTTATGCTCAACTACGGGGTTTGGTCTAACTTATTTATCAACTGAAACCATATTTTGAAGTAAATGTCTCACCACATGTTATGGTACAAGATGAGAAATCTAATTTTGTCAACGTTATTCCCTTATATGAGGAAACCGACAACATTACAAAAATATATTTTTTTCTTGCATGGGAAGGTACACCCTTCTTAGCCACGCTCTATTTATAACTTACCAAACGGACGGCAATCACACAAAAAATAGTAAGAATACAGTTTAGAAGCTCCGTTACTATAATTAAAAGCATGGCCGTAAATTCTGAAAAAAATCGATATCTGTAATGAAACAGCAACCCAAGGCACCTGAAAAGAAAGTATGTATTTTTGTAGCATATTTTTAATAGTCGTACGGCCATATTTGTGGAAAGGCAGTAAGTAAGGTCAATATTTTCGTCATAGTAGAATAAAACAAGCAGGGTAACTCTGTACAAATAACAGCGCGGTTTGTATGCGTGCGTCCGTACACGGCGCGCGGTGAGCGCGCACATATGCACCCCGCTGTGACGTTTGTATGGAGTTTCGTGGTTTCTTTACACTGCTAACGAAATTACTAACATAATGAACTGTGATCCTTCATATAAATCTTCATATGGAAAGATATACAACGTGTATTGCTAAGGTTTATACTACAGTCCCGCAACAGCTGCATAAGCAGTTAGTTTATTTATTTGGTTCTCCAGCAGTGAGTACAATGTGCATTACAATAAGAGTGGTTACACGTGGTGACTCTTAGCAGCGATGCAAACGCGCGACTGCATCGCTACACTTGTGGTTTATAAGCGATTGCATCGATGCAATTGCGCATTTGTATCGATGCAGTCACGTGTTTGCAACGTCGCGTTTGCGCGTTTCACGAACTCGCGTTTGCATCGTAACCACTCTCAGATATACTAAACATAAATACATTTGCCCCATTACTCAGAGGAAACACCGCATATCGCGCAAGTACAATAACAGTTTATACTTTTTTCATAATGATAACGAGTCGAAAAGAGAATCTATAACTATTAGTGTAAACAAGTCTTTCAGGTAAATTCAGAGACATAATTGCCAAATCCGCTGTATTGTAATATCGTATTTATAGTCCGAGAGGTGGAAAGTGCAATCTGCGATCTAGTGCGGTATTTTGGAATGCAAAAAACTTCCTATTATGATTTCTCTATGGTTCGGTGCTGTGGTTAGTTCTGATCTGATTGTTGGTAGATTTATATACATAAAAAATAAGTCTTACGACGTAACCAATGAAAGCGACTCCCGCTATTGGTTTTTTACATTATTGGTAAGAAGATGGATATACATTTATGTGATTTGCAACTAACCGTCCAGTTCCTGCACCAGTATACTTAAAAATATAAATTTAATCTAGTCTTTTACTGAGAAAATTAGCACCTAAGTCTCTGAGTCTGAAAGTCGCTGAATCGAATCAAAATACCTAATCTTCCACGTACACTTTGAGATTTTATAAACCATGTCCAAAAATAGATTAGCGAAATTTACTGCCCAGTTACATTTTTAATTTTAATAATTTTTTGTTAACTTTTACTCGGAAATTTCCACATTTATTTCAAACTTAAAATTTGATTATGTCAAAATGGTGTATTGCTTTTTTTTCTTTGTTCCGTTTGGAACAGGCGAAGGTTAGAGACCATACTGCCTATGAAATGTCCTTCTATTTTGCAGTTGTTCTTAATATAAATTCTTTTCGCAAAGGACCCATACAGCCAGAATTTAAGATCAAATAAGATCATTGTTTATAGACAGGCATTTCGTTTTCGGTGGGTCGTCATGTAAATATTTGGCGACTCCAATCTCAAATCTCAAATACTACAATCTTTGTCGATCGTCTCACACGAGCTCACATCTCGTGCCAAAGGAAGAGGCTCGTCGGAGGTAATGCAGACTCGTCCGTAGTCGTGAACGGATCAATGCTTAGCGGAAAATGGGCGGGGTTAGAGCGCGGCGATGGGTTACCATTCTGTAATTGCTTATTTATAATTATGAACAGCCAAATCTATAAAATAATGGCCGTGAACAAACAAATAGAAATCAGTG